CTCTACTTTAGAAACTTTAGTAGCCCAGTTCTTTGAAGTCCAAATTATGTCTATTCTTGGAAAGGATTCACGTCCTTCAGAAAAATAAGTATGTACTTTTGAATTGCCTTTTTTTTTTTTGGCGGAGGGGTGGGGTTCTCCGTATAGCAACCCGTCCTAAATTGTCCATCAAATCAAAGAAAATTTGGGGTAATTTGTCTTGCATTATTTTAATATTTTTCTCAGAAGTTCTGTTCAGTGGGGGGCGATCACTACATTCTATTTTTCCATAAAACATAAATTTGCATAAGAGAAATCATAATCTCTCTATAAATAATTCATAAAATAATACTTTGTCCTCATTTGGTACATAGATACCCAGTATTAAAGTATTAGTCCGCTACATATTAACTTCCATGCTCATCAGTCAATACAAATTCTGGCTTTAGTTGGAAATTAATATTTTTCTTTTTACTTTTTTTTTTTTTGTTACTGTTGAAATTCATTGTTCACTCAAATTTTTAATCAAATATTTTAAATCCTTTTTTTCTAGTAGTTTTGATATACTAAGTGTAATCATGTTATTTGAATATAGCTTGCATTTTGGACCGCAGGCTAGAAACCAGCAGACCATGAGTTCTGGTCTCATGTTAGGCAAGAAAGCTGGCTAGATAACTTTGGGCCAATCATCAGGAGAATGGTGAGTTCTAGACATAAATGCTGATTGGGTCACTTTGCGCCAATCACTCACTCTCTCAGCCCAACTCACCTCACAGAGTTGTTTTTATGGAGAAAATAGGAGGAGGAAGGAGCATTATTAGGTATGTTTACCACATTGAGTTACGTATAAAGTAATAAAGGCGGGATAAAAATCTAATACAATAAATAAATGATGAGGCTACTGACAAAAGCAATGTTGCCACTGACAAAACCATCAAAGAGGGTACTAGCCTTCAGTACATTCATCATTTTCACTAAAGCTTTTAGTCTTACAGATGCCTTTATCCATCTGCCTGCTCATGAGCAATCTATCACACTTAAGAATTAATTACATAGTTATTGACCTAATAACGGCTAATACAGGTCATCCACGACTTACAGCAGTTCATTCAAAGTTACAACATCACTGAAAAACGTAACGTACAACCGTTTTTCACACTTATGACCATTACAGCATCCTCATGATCATGTAACCTTCTTATAAGCAAAGTCAATGGGGGAGCTGAATTCACTTAACAGCCATGTTACTAGGTTAACAACTGCAGCCGTTCACTTAACAATCGTGGCAAGAAAGGTAATAAAACAGGGCAAAACTTACTTAACAAGTGACTCACTTAGCAAAAGAATGTCAGAGTTGGAAAGGACTTTGGAGCAGGGGTGAAATCCAGCAGGTTCTCACAGGTTCTAGAAAACTGGTAGCAGAAAATTTTGAGCGGTTCAGAGAACCGGTAGCGGAAATTTTGAGTAGTTCGGAGAACCAGCAAATACCACCTTTGGCTGGCCCCAGAGTGGGGAGGGAATGGAGATTTTGCACTCCCCAGGAGTGGGGAGGGAATGGGGATTTTGCAGTATCCTTCCCCTGCCACGCCCACCAAGCCTCACCACACCCACCAAGCCACGCCCACAGAACCAGTAGTAAAAAAAAAATGGATTTCACCACTGCTTTGGAGGTCTTCTAGTGCAAACTACTTTAAGCTCTTGAAGGTAGGCTAGGATACAAATCTAATAAATTAATTAGGTTTTCAAAGTGGTAGATAGCTAAGGATTCCATCCAATGTCTCGCTTAACAATAGAAGTGTGGAGCTCAATGTGTCGTAAGTTGAGAACTATCTGAACTGCAAGGAATGCTTGTCTTAACCAAGAGCAACCTAATTAGAGTATCTTTCATTGATGCTTTGCTTGAATTGTCCTTCTGTAAACTTCCCTGTGTGGTACCTGCTCAAAATATGCAGAAAATGCTAGTTGCCATGGCAGCACAGTCAGGACCTGGCCCTCTAAAACACCTCCATTTTAAAAACTTATATCATGATTTATGAGCAAGGCTAAAGAGAAAGATGACATTTGTGCAGGAATGGTCTTGATACATGGTTCTCTATGAAATAAATAATTTCCACATCAGTATTTTCAGAAGGCAATTGTAAATCTCAACACATTTTTAAGGGCACTGTTGGATAAGGTTGAGCATGTAGAGAAAGACTTTAGGGCTGGGAAGCCTTCACGGAAGAAAAGAGATGCCATGCAATGAATCCTTGACTAAGGAATCCATCTATTTGATTATCACAAATATTACAGCTTACTAATTTCAGGATCATAAAATCCATGATTTATAAATTTATCAGAAACAGTTCCTATCTATGTCTATCTTTTAGTATGGCATCTGTTCCTGCTTGGAAATGCATTTTCTGTGTTCTGCAACCTTTGTCCTCTAAAAATATGCATTTCAGCATACATTTCCCCCCTTTTTTAAAACACATTTTTAAACATTATTTATGAAATCTGCAAAACTGGTTTGGAGCACACGTAAGGTTTTCTTAAATTTCATTTTTTCCCCAACCATCCATAACTGTAAGCAGATCATAACTTTACAGTAATTGAAATCTATCATTTGAAATCCAGAGCCTCATCCCCAGAAAAAGACTGCAAATTTTTCTTTAGTTATTTAGTATCATGGAAGACAAAAAAGAAGGCTTGATGTGTAATAAGAAAATAAACCAAAATTAACTGTGTGGCCATTTTATTAAGACAAACTGAAATGTCATAAGGAGATAAATAATGGTGAAACAAGATAAATAATGTACTGGATGTTGAAACGACCAAGTCTGCATTTATTAGAGAGAGCAATGGTTAGAATGCAGTACTGCAGCCTACTTTGCTGACTACCGGCTGCCTGTAATTTGGCAGTTCGAATCTCACAATACTCAAGGTTGACTCAGCTTTCCATCCTTCCAAGGTGGATAAAATGAGGACCCAGATTGTTGGGGGCAATAGGCTGACTCTGTAAACCGCTTAGAGAGGGCTGTAAAGCACTGTGAAGCAGTATATAAGTCTAAGTGCTATTGCTATTAACTAAGCTAAATAATTAAAAACCATTACAGATTTCATTATTATCCAGAAGTTATCTTCAGAGGTAGATATAATCAGATACTCCATACAATAAAAGCAGCCCAAAATAAATACAAGATACAATTTTTACCTGAGAGAGGTAAAAATTACATCTATTGACATATCGTTTGGACTGTACTGTTCTATTTTTGTTGTCAGTTCTAAAGTATTTGTTTGTTTGCTTGACTGCCTGATTGATTACATGTCATCAAGTAAAGAGTCAACTCTTAGCAATTACATAGATAGACTTTCTCCAGTGTCATCTGCCCCTAAGCTGGCCCTTCAGAATGTTTTACTCATCTACATTCTACTAAAACTCTCATCATCATGACCTTTAAATGGAGGAAACTATGGATCAAAGGCAACAATTTTTAAATCAAGGTATCACAAATGGGCTAACTTTTAAATTATATACAAAATCTGGGTCCCATGACTCCTAAAAAGAATGACATTTGGGAAAGTTATGGTTGCTTCATTGCAACTGACTGCTACTGGGCTGCTATTGTGGTCCCTGTGATCTTCACCAGAGGTGGTATTCAGCAGGTTCTGACCAGTTCTGGAGAACTGGTAGCTGAAATTTTGAGTAGTTCGGAGAACTGATAAATACCATCTCTGACTGGCCCCGCCCCCATCTATTCTCTGCCTCCCGAATCCCAGCTGATTGGGAGGAAATGGGGATTTTGCAGTAACCTTCCCCTAGAATGAGGAGGGAATGGAGATTTACAGTACCCTTCCCCTGCCACACCCACCAAGCCATGTCCATCAAGCCATGCCATGCCCACCAAGCCATGCCCACAGAACCGGTAGTAAAAATTTTGAATCCCATCACTGATCTTTACCAATGTTCTGGGAGAGTTTCAGAACTAGCCAGTTTCATAATCCCTTGCTCCCTCTCCTACTCAGCAGCAAGCTTTTATCTGTGGGATGGGATGGGATGCGATGCGATGCGATGGATGGGATGGGAAGTTAAAATGTTCCCTGCCAGATTCCCATAACTCAATGGGAAAGCTGGTGGGAAGGGAGAAATTCCTCCTGTTCTCACTGCTTTTTGCATGAGTGTTCTCCAACAATAAATTCAAAAACCTCAATACTTTTTTCAACTGCTTCTTCAATTTTTCATTTCCATGGAGCATCAGAGGCAAATCATCAAACAAAATTAATTAATAAATAAAATAAAAATAAAAATAAAAATAATAAAAATAAAAATAAAAATAAAAATAAATTAATTAATAAATTAAAAATAGCAATAGCACTTAGATTTATATACCGCTTCACAGTGCTTTTACAGCCCTCTCTAAGCAGTTTACAGAGTCAGCATATTGCCCCCAACTGTCTGGTCCTCATTTTACCCACCTCGGAAGGATGAGTCAACCTTGAGCCGGTGGGATTTGAAGTGCCGAACTACAACTAGTAGTAGGCCTTTTTCTGCTGCCAGTTTTCTATGTTTCTATGTTTTCTGTTCCCTGTATGATTCTGATCTTTGTAGGTATAGACTTGTCACAGTATGTGAATATATACATCTATTCACAATATTCACCATATGTGAATATGTTTTTGTTGTTATCTTACCAAATGCTACACTGTTGCATATTTGTCAACTGCTGGTTCCTTTAGAAACTATGCACCACTTCAATATTGTCATTGTCAGTTCTAAGGCTGGTTGCTGCAACTGTTATCATTAATTTAGTCTTTTTCATATTTAAGTTTAAGGTCATTTTTTTCCAGTGCTCCTTGAGTTTCATTACTAGAACTTTCGGATCATTTGCCTTTTCAACTGTCAGAGTCATGTCATCAGCCTAACATAGACTATTGATGTTTCTCCCATTGATTCTAAAATCACATTCATCTTCTTCCAGTCCAGTTTCTCTCAGTACATTCATCATATAGATTCAATGAATAATGGGAGAGGCTATACTTACTGATCTGGAGGCAGTCTGTTTCACCATGTTGCACTCAGACTGAGGCTTCCTATACTATATATAGATTTCATTTCAGGACAATATTTTCCAAGGCATCTGAAGGCCAGACAAGGAATAATGATTGGAAACTGATGAAGGAGAGATTCAGTCTAGAAATATGGAAAAATTTTGTGACAGTGAAAACAATCAACCAATGAAACAGCTTGCCTTCAGAAGTTGTGGGAGCTTCATCACTGGAGGCTTTCAAGAACGGACTGGACTGCCATTTGTCAGAAATGGTGTAGGGTCTCCTGCTTGGGTGGGAGGTTGGACTAGATGACCTACAAGGTCCCTTCCAACTCTGTTAATCTGTAAACTGTAGGAGTACAGTGGCTCAAGTGGTTGAAATCCTGGGCAGGAGGTTAGAAACCCCACGGTCAAGACTTGAGAATTCTTGTCCTTCACTCCAGCTCCTGCCAGGGACATGAAAGGAGCCCCCAACTGGGCATCCCCAGGGCAACAGTGATGTCACCGGCTAATCCTCTCAACACAAGTGCAAAAAAAATGTCAGGACAATGAGATATTCCAGGATTCCCATTTTCTAAGAACATTCCACAATTCAAAGGCCTTTCTATAATCAAGGAAGCACATTTGACTTCTTGATATTTTTTTTGACCTAATCATTTAACTAATATTCAGCATTAATAATGTCTTGGGTTCCTCAGCTTTTTTTAAAAAAAAAACTTCTTGAATATCTGCCTTTCCATTTAGGCTTTTAATATTATACACACACACAAACTTACTTCTTACTATTTGTGATGGCCGGCATCTCTAAGAGATGTATAATGTTCATACTTTTGCACAATTTCAGATAAAATTCACAAGCTGTAAAAAGACTGCTATGTTCAAATACATCAAACATATGAAGCATATTTTATTTTTCCTCCCAGAAACTAATCTTTCCAGGTGTGAGAAATTCCTTTTTCAATGACTGAACACAACATAGCTTAGATTAAACTACCTGATAGTTTATTATATCATGCACATTCCCCAATAATAGGCTGAGCAAAGATAGCTTCACTCCCTTAGTTCTTATGGTTGACTTAGCCATGTAAGCAAGTCTTTGGTGTTCTGTCCTTACAGATGTGAAAGTTCTTAAAGTGAAATGCAATCCATGTCTCTCACTAAAAGTTGTGCACTTGTTGACAATTATGTGCTGCCCCGCGCAGTTGCTGTTTATTTAACTACAGTCGCACAGCAAAGCTGCTGCCAAGCTCCAGGCTAAACTCCAAGTTCTGCTGTAAGCAATGTTGCTCTTGAGCACTCAAGCTGAGCTCTCAAGCCAAGCTCCAGGCAGGGATCAAGCACAGTTGGCTGCTTATCATGGCTTGTGATCCTGGCAGCTAGATTCAGCCATGTTCCTTGCTTTAGCTATTAGACTTGCCCAGACATTGCTTCTCACTCCTTCATCTCCTTCCCAGCTCTTCTTCTCTTGTTCTTCTGCTCACCTACACTCCTCCTTGGTTAACTGAAAGTATGGGTACAGTGTGGCTGTCTAACCAAGCTGTCTATGGACATATCATATTCTTCACAATGCCAGAGTGCAGCTAAACAAGCCAGCTATGGGTACTGGTTAGATACTAAGGTGTGGCCAACTGGCTGACTGAGATGCCGATGTGGATGCCTCTGAGGTGAGTCTAAGTCATGCAGTCTGCTACTCTCACAAGAGCTAAGGGGGAATTGAGCACTTCCTCCTTAAGTTTCCTGGTAGAGCCTGTAAAATTATTGTATGCCTCACGATTGGGGGATGAGCTGTGTCTAACTTTGGGAAAAGTGACAATGGCTGTTTTTTCCTAGTAGTCACTCCAATCAGCATTTTCAGCACAACTTTTCCCAAGCACTTTCAACTGTGCTCTTCTTTCCCTCCCATCAAGATTACCCTCTTTTTTCCATCCAGACCATGATCTTAAAAAAAATCAAGCAGTGCAATCTTTCATTGAAGAGTTGACTTTCAAGCCCCATTGTGCAATGCCTTTAATATCCAATGATTACTTTCAATAAACAAATGTGTCTAATCAATTTATAACCTGTTCATAATTCCTCAACATTGGATCTGGCAGCCACACCTGGATCACGGATGACAGGAGGAGGGGGAGGGGAGAGAAGAGAAGAAGAGAAGAAGAGAAGAGAGGAGAAGAGAAGAGAAGAGAAGAGAAGAGAAGAGAAGAGGGGGAATTTATTTGTTCAAGTGTAGTTAGAGGAGGAATTCTACTTAATATAAACTCTTATGGCAAGAGATGACAAGACTGCAGAATGCTAGTGAAAACTTTCCTTGGGTGGCTACTTTGACTGTAGCTTGATACTACAGTTAACATTTAGGAGGCATATTCTATGGGTGATGAACATTGGCAGGTAGTTATACAATGGATCTTGGCCTAAAGATCTCATAATCTCAAAAAGATTGAGAATCTCCATAATTATTGACAAATGGACCTTGGGTTTCAACCAACTCCATCTCTTTTCCTTGAAGGGCTAACTGCAAAGATCTTGGATAGTGCTCTGCAACTGACAAAGGGTTTGGGGTTCACAAAACATGGCTGGGAAGAGGAAAGCAATTGAAGTCATGGTTGCTTTGATGTAATTTTGAATTAAAATTGTCTCTATCCTGGCCATGTTTGGTTCATTTGGTTTATACAACCTGGTACTACTGTTATTATTGACCCAGTGAAACATATTGTGTGAATCTAGCTGGTAAGCCCCAATTAGGGGGTGTCGACACCAAACAGGGCCAGCCTCAGCACCTAAATCATCATGGAGCAGGTTAGTTAGGTGCCAAGTGAATCTGATTTTTGTCACAGCATCTGTTCTTTGTACTGATCTTTAAAAAACATTTTATTATCAAGCCAGCAGGGTATCCATGTTCACGCTAGAAGGATTCATTGTATTATCTCATTACCAATCTATACTAACCGTTTGTTCAACAACAGAGTCCTTAGTCCTAACGACAAAACAGTAGGAGGCAGCTTTATTTTATTCCATAATCAGGATGGGGCTATAGAGGCAGGAGAGGGAGAGGAATATCAGTTGTCAATTACATGCTACACAATTGCAGAATTGAAGCATAACCCTCTAAAAATGTTCATTACACCCATATCTAAATTGATTTAGCTGCCGTTATTGCTTTCATCCACTTTTCTCTGGCCTCTCAGTTTAGGGATATTATTGATATATTTCAGTAAGACTTAAAATTGGATGTAAGCAATCTTGGGGAACTTTGAACCAAGGAGTTCTTAATTTCTCCAAGGAAGGAGGCTTCCACCAGGAATTTCTCCTTCAAGGGAAGAACACTGCTACTCAAAACAATCCACAGAGGAGTTGAATGGAGGCATGAAAAGCCAGTGAGGCTTCAAGCCTCTGGGGAACTGACTGTACAAGGAAAGACAAGAAATTTTCACACGCTCGTTACTGCCTCCACTAAGTAAATAAGCACACACTACCCACGAGAGTGTCGCAGAGTCCCTCACTCTTTCTACAGATATTTTCAAAGGCAGGTTGACTTTCATTCATTTGAAAGCAAACCTGGTTTTAAAAAATGCAGGAGACTTTCTCTGCTGGTTACTAGAGGACAGTGATTGCATAAAGAATGGCAGAGCTCCAGTCACCGAGAACGGAGACATAAGAAAGCCAAATCCAGAAGGGTTTTGATCTCAAATCACTCCGCTGCCTGGATAGCTGGCATGGCATTAGATGGCCATCCTCTTGTTATAGGTTGAAGCTAAAGAGTCTGCTAAAGTGGGATGGATGGAGAAGACTCAAAATACTTGGGAGATGCTTTGGAGGAGCCCTGGCTGCGAAGACTAATTACATCCTTCATTGGTGTATGTGCCTACAAATAATGTGTCAAAATTCCCTCTGAATATTCCTGCTCTGCATTAAACACCAAAGGGAAAGGAGAGAATTTGCCTCCTCAACTATCTGTCTCTCTCTCCTGACTATCTAGAGAGGCATCACTTGAAGTATTCACCACCCCTTCTTATCTCTTTCTCTCTGAAGCCGTTTATTGTGAATTATGCATCCCAACCCTGCATGAAATATTCAGCTGGTGTCCTTTCATTCCTGCTCAGCCTCCCAAACAAAGCAATAAACTGTCAGCATGCCAAATGGTGGAGTCTGTAAGCAGGGAAGGCGCCACTGACTTCCTGCGGTTCAACTGAATCATCCAGCATGGCAGTGTAGCTCAGACATCAGGTGGACACAGGTGAGGAAGCCTCTGGAGAAATAATAATCACACCTGGCACAAGCGGCACAATGACACTGCAATGCCATCACATGGCTTTCATCATTCAGACTCCCCATGTTGGTCTACAGATTTTGCTACTCTAAATCCAGTTTTGATTACCACACTATTAAAAAGATGTTGAGACTCTAGAAAAAGTACAGAGAAGAGCAACCAGGATGATTAGGGGACTGGAAGCTAAAACATATGAAGAACGTTGCAGGAACTGGGATGGCTAGTCTAGTGAAGGGAAGCACCAGGGGAGACATGATAGCAGTCTTCCAATATTTGAGGGGCTGCCACAGAGAGGAAGGGGTCAAGCTATTTTCCAAGGCACCCAGAGGCCAGACAAGGAATAATGGATGGAAATTGATCAAGAAGAGATTCAACCTGGAAATAAGGAGAAATTTTCTGACAGTGAGAACAATCAGCCAATGGAACAGAAGTTGCCTTCGGAAATTGTGGGAGCTTCATCACTTGAGACTTTCAAGAAGAGACTGGACTGCCATTTGTCAGAAATGGTGTAGGGTCTCCTGCTTGGGTGGGGGGTTGGACTAGAGGACCTACAAGGTTCCTTCCAACTCTGCTAATCTGTTAAATCTGCTAACCATAATCATATTGATCAGATAATGCTATGTTATCAGAATGTTGAGCTAGGGAGATCCACATTCAAATGTTCAATTCACACAATGCTCATTGTATGAATTTTAGGCCATTCACACTTTCTCAGATGACTTTATTTCATTGAACTCTTGTTCTGGAGATTAAAATGAGATTAAAATGAGATTTTTCTATGTAATCTGCCTTGAACTAACAAGGGGGTGGGGGGAAATCAGCATATGTATCCAAGAAACAAACTAATTCACATCAGTCCTAGGAGCATTAATGCATCTAAAAACATTTTCTTTAGCACCTGTCAAGCTCTCTCCCACCCACCCTAAATTTGCACAACTAAGAAAATAAAAAAGACATGTCTTAAGTTAAAAAAGGAGGGGGGGAGACTTGGCCCACTGGAAAGCAAAGCACCAATGTCTATGATCATCTTTATTTCCAAAAATTATTCAGGGCCTCAAGTGGGTCCCATTAAGCTTTCTTAGAAAATTAAAACAATTTGCAGCTGCAGTCCAGTGCTTCGTTTGCAAATCTGCTTGCCTGCCTAGAGAAAAGATCAAAGCAAACAGATGTAGGCAGCAGCATATAGTGTGAGTACATGGAAACTAGCATTCTTCTATACTCATATATGTATACATATGTACCAGGGGTGAAATGCTCTCGGTTCAGACAGGATCCCCCGATCCGGTAGCGACGGTGGCGGGTGGTTCAGAGAACCGGTAGCAAAAATCCCTGCCTGGCGGGACCAGTCAGAATTTTTACTACCGGTTCTCTGAACTACTCAAAATTTCCGCTACCAGTTCTCCAGAACTGGTCAGAACCTGCTGAAACCCACCTCTGACCCCACTGCATGCTTCCCTTTATGTAGATGTAGTTCCATTGAGTACAGTTGGTCAGCCAGTTATAAATATATTCTCCAGTTTTATGAATATATTGGTCCAGTTTTAAATCATGGATGAGCTCTGTTTCTCTCGTTGTATTAATACTGTAATTTGCACCATGGATAAGTTGTTATTTATAAACCACTGTGTGACTGCACCAGTATAGAAATCCAATTAAAATAAGTAAATATGTTCTCAAAATTCTCAAAAGATTGCAAACCTTAGGCACAAAGTACCCTTCCTGCCAACATCTAAGAATATTAGCTTTTCTTTATCACTGTAACAAGTGTGCTGCCAAAGGCTATTTTCAGAAAATACACTAAACCTAGATTTAAATACCTCACACATCTTTAAAGTGCACATAGCGTGCTATGTCTCAACTAATAAACCATGCTTAGGCTCAATGACCCCATTCATACAAAGTCCTAAGGCGATGTCTAAGTTCCCATGAAGACTGAACCACTCACTACCCAAATCCATTTTAGCTTAGTCTAGTATGTTATACAAAGTTATCTACCATATTTTCCACTCACTATAACTGGGTGTTCAATATTAAATTCTAAGTAAAGTCTAAACGCCTTGCAACTGAGCATCATATCAATCTTACTCTATAGGTAGAATAAAACAGGAATAAATTTGGTGATAGTAAACAAGAACTATTAACATAAAAGAGACAAATGAGCCTGAGAAAGAAATATATTGAGAATGATCCCATCTTGATTCTGTTTGGTATATGAGCAGGCAGAGGGAAAATGGCAGATTTTTAAGATTCTGTTATTTTATTGTTGCATGTTGAAAATACCTAACTATATGTACATATTTAAAGTCATGTAAGGGTTAATCATCTATACATCAATTGTCCCATCCACTGACTCCTCCTTACCATTTGACTCCTCCTACTGTGTATATATTCTGATGTCCTGAACAGTTCCTTTGACTTGCCTGATGATCTCCTGCAATAGAAACAAAGAAATAAATGCTGTTTATGTTCTCATGACTTGCATCCTGATTATTGGGCCTATATAAAAGAAATAAAAGAAACATTTATCGTATTAAAATAGATTTCCAATACAGTAGTCTTTGCTATGGGTACTTCTTGGCCTGGCCTATTTCAAAGGATGGATACTATATTTTTGAGGGTGTTTATTATTATTTCCTGAGCTTGCATTGGTATGATCTTCCCACTATCGGGGGGGGGGGGGGGCAGTGTTAAGGTGTTTCCAAAAGGTGTTATGTGCATACCAGTGGTGGGTTGCCCCCTGTTCGCACCGGTTCTATAGAACCAGTAGTAAAACCGGTGGGAGGCTCCGCCCACCGACCCCGACATCATCATAACACTTCTGTGCATGCACAGAAACTTCTGCTCGTGCGAAGCGAGCACGTGCGCGCAGCCCCGCTGCAAACCAGTAGTAAAGGTAAGTAGAACCCACCCCGGTGCATACCACTCTGGCATGCTCCAAGATTACTTTCCCCTTTGAACCTGAAATACTTCATAGCCCTTAGGATCACTATCTAGTCCACATAAGACTGATGCCTAAACAAAATAAGAGAATTTAACAAAAACAAACCAGTTCCATCTGCTCATGTGATTTGTGAAATGGAAGAAGCCTGTTTAGAGTTCTCCAACAGATAAAAAATTATCCTTTTTCTATCTTCTCTGACATGTGATGGACAAACGTTCATCAGTGATTTAAATGCAAATTTTCTAAATAAAATCTACCTGTGTGATCTCCTCCCAGCTTCCTGATCTTAAATGGCTATTCTAAGAGTCCCTGTAATGGCTGGAACACTTCTAAATATTTATTTCCTTTTTTTTTTGTATTTTTATTTATTTATTTTTTTATTGAAAAAGTTTTCAAATACAAATTTTCCCCCCTTTTTTCCCCCTCTCCCTCCCCCTCCCTAACCCCCCCTCCCCACCCATCCCCCCCGTGACTTCTTCATAACAAAAAAAAACCTAATTCATAACAGATTACTTACTCCCTCCTCTAGATATTGACCTTTACTTACTAAAAATATTATTAATATTATAACATCCCCCTTTATCCATACATATCAAAAAAGAGAAAAGAAAGGGAAAAAAAAAGACATTATACTATGACATTATAGAATAACTTCTCCACTTTAAAACTATACGATAAGTCCTACTTTAACATTTAATCTTCTATATATATTACTATAACATTCCAAAGCGGCCTTCCCCATAAAATCTAGTTTAGCATTTATTCCACTCTATCCATTTCCTCCACTCCCCTAAATATAACACTTAAAAATCCCTTTTCTTAGACTAATCAATCTACTAACTAGCTTATTCACCCACTATCATGCAGAATTGCCATACACAACATTTCTTAACATCTTTGATTCACTGCCCACACTAAATATTTATTTCTTAATGCCAGTTTGAGTAGCACTTTACTTTTTTTATTTTTTATTTTTATTTTTTAAGTATTCTTCTTACCACCCTGGGTAAGAAGGTTTTCAGCATCATGGAGTCCTATGTGTTCCTTTTATCATCACAAGCGTTCCTTTCATCATCACATTAAGCAAACAAGATTGAAGTGACATTCAGAGGCGAATACTTTTGCAGCGGCTTTCCACTCAGGATGCAAAATCACATTTGTGTCGTAAGAGAGGTTTTAAATGAGTTTTATGGACTTGTTTCCAGGCTGATCACTTCCCTCCTACTCATGCCCGCTCTTTACATTCCTGAAGCACTAAAATATATATATATATATATATATCACAGGATGGATCTGAAGACATAGCTCAGAGTAGAAGTAGGCGGTTTGTGTACTAAATTCCCTAGTTCCATATCAAGTTATTTCTAGCCACTGGAAAAATTAGTAATTGAAACTCTGGGAAGAACTGGACTGAGTACATAAACCAATGTTCGGATTAACTATATTGATATAGGTATAGTTCTCCTTATCTCAATTCTCCAAATAAATCTGAAAATTGAAAAATTGAAGTTTCCCAGCGGTTCCCCTGGTTTCAAGGCACACAGCATTCAAAGCCCCTTTCAAATATTGTAATCCTTCCTCCTTTTCTCAAGTTTAAACATGGTTTCTCAAGATTAAAGAGTGTCAGATCTGCCACCTTGCTTTTGCCTTCTCTTTGCCTCAATGCCAGCCTGCCATAAACTCCAGGGGGGAAGGAACAGGGGTGGGTTCTAAATTTTTTTACTACTGGTAGTAAAAAAAGCCACTGGCGTGGCTTATTATGTAGGCGTGGCTTGATGGTCATGTGACAATTCTTTAGGATTTAGCAGAGGTACTGGTTTACCAGGCTTTTAACAGCTTGCAGAGCTGTACCGATCTACCCATTTATTTTTGCAGGCACTGGTCTACCCATTTATTTTTACAGGTGCTGGTCTACCCAGTTATTTTTGCAGGCACCGGTCTACTCATTTATTTTTACAGGCGCTGGTCTACCCAGTTATTTTTGCAGGCACTGGTCTACCCATTTATTTTTACAGGCGCTGGTCTACCCAGTTATTTTTGCAGGCACCGGTCTACTCATTTGTTTTCTTTTAACACTGATCAGCTGTAGGGAGGCCCTTTGAAGCCCCAGGGGAAGAGTTTAAACAGTTTTTTTCCCTCTAGTCATCAGCTGCGACTCAGGAGGCAGCAATAGATTGGGGCTGGGGCCAAATAAAAGGTAAGAATAACGCGGGGGTGGGGGCGGGGGGCGGAACCGGTTCGGTGACATCATATCATCACAGCTACCGGCTCAGTGGAACTGGGCCGAACTGGAAGGAACCCACCACTGGGAAGGAAGCAGGGGTGGGTTTCAAAATCCATTGCTACTGGTTTGCTTGTGAGCACACGTGCGCTTGCACACGCATGCGACGCTTCTGCGCATGCGCAGAAGTGTCCAAGCGGGTGGGTGGAGCCTCCCACCTCTGCCGCTACTGGTTCGCCCGATTTGGGGTGAACAAGTAGCAACCCACCACTGGAAGGAAGCTCTTCGGGAAGGAAGAAAGAGGGAACACGAAAGTACTTTGTACTGGTCAGAGACGACATCTCAAGGGCACCCGATCAAAAAGAAGAGTGCAGCTGCATTCCAAGGATGGCCGCTTCGAAAACATCTGGTTTGAGTATGAACCAGCAGAAGGGCAGATGTGGGAACCAGGGGGATTTGACTAGGGGATTGGCACAGAAACCTCAGACCTGTCTTTGCTTTGCTGTTACTTCACTTGAGTTTAAACCAGGAATCTCCAACCTTGGCAACTTTAAGCCTGGAGGACTTCAACTCCCAGAATTCCCCAGCCAGCTTTGCTGGGAGTTGAAGTCCACCACGCTTAAAGTTGCCAAAGTTGGAGACCCCTGGTTTAAACTATACCTTACTCCAAAGATGGAGTCATGGATCGTTCTTGCCTAGAGTTGAACAAGGCAGGGTTGACAGTTCTTTGAGTTTCAACTCACAGAACTTGATCTCAAATCCCTGATTATCTTCATTGCCCTTCTCACTCTTAGTTTATTTGGAATCTTCTTGAAATTGGGTGCAAAACTCAGGTGCAATTTGAACTCTGGAAGACACTTTTCAGTCACTTGAAAGCTTGCAAGTATCTTTTTAATATCAGGCTGTTGTCTCCTCATCCCCCTTGTTACCACACAGTTTATTTTGAATTGTATACTTGGGGGAGCTGTCAATCTTACATGCTGTGAAGTGCCAAATAAAATAGTGTACTTCTCGTGGACGCTTCATGTCACTTGCTGAATTCAGGGCCACTTGCTTTATTAACATTTGACTCTGAGGTACAAATTATTTGGGGGTGGGATGGGGTTCCTACTTATATCAGAGATGGGAATCCACTTTGTCATCGGGAAAGGTAAAAGAGTTCCTTTTAATTAAAGCCAGTGGGTCATATGGACATTTGGCTCCTGGACCAATTAATCCTGCTTTGGGATCAAGGAAAGCCCTCATTTTGCAGAACAGTTCTAAAGATCAGTATTTTAAAAGAATGGAAACAAAAGAATGAAAAAAAATCAAAATGAACCAGCTTCTCTGTTGTCGGCAGGTCAGCATGATTTGGTAGCTGAAGATGTTCCCATCTTTGACTTCTCAATAATGTCTTCCTTTCTCCAGCAACCCAGATCCTGAGGTTTATTGATACATTTGGAGAAAATTGCAGAGCAGCTCAAGAGACACCCCTTAATTATGGAAAATAATTCACTTTCTAATTAGACATACTGTATATTGCAGCCACAATTCTTGAAGAGAGTACCATTAAGATTTGTGACATCAGGGGTGAAATTCAGCAGGTTCTGGAGAACCGGTAGCGGAAATTTTGAGTAGTTCAGAGAACCGGCAAATACCACCTCTGGCTGGCTGCAGAGTGGGGTGAGAAAGGAGATTGATTGATTGATTGATTGATTGATTGATTGATTGATTGATTTATTTATTTATTTATTTATTTATTTATTTATATGCCGCCCTTCTCCGGAGACTCAGGGTGGCTTACAATGCATTAAGCAATAGCCTTCATACTTTTGTATATTTTATACAAAGTCAGTTTATTGCCCCCACAAACCGGATCCTCATTTTACCTACCTTAGAAAGGATGGAAGGCTGAGTCAACCTTGAGCCTGGTGAGAATTGAACTCGCAGTAATTGCAGGCAGCTGGAAGCTAAATACTACCTTTAACAGTAGCATTAGTCTGCTGTGCCACTCAGGCTCCTGATTTTGCAGTATCCTTCCCCTGGAGTGGGGTGGGAATGGAGATTTTGCAGTATCCTTCCCTGCCACGCCCATCAAGCCACACCCACCAAGCCACACCACGCCCACCAAGCCACATCCACAGAACCAGTAGTAAAAAAAATTGAATTCCACCACTGTGTGACACCATATAAGTAAGCCAAAAGAAAGCTGTGTTTTCAATAGTTACTTAGAGTTCAGGCCAGACAGTTTCCAAGCTGTTTCCATTTGCTAGTGAAAAACAAGCGGTCT